ACCATACTCAGCATACTGAACGTCGAGTTGTTTATGATTGGGTATTTACAAGTAGGTTTTAGAGTTCGGCATTCTGACGGCCAAACCACTTTCACAATCAAGACGTACATTTGTTTTGAGTACTTGTGCCCATATAGTCTGGTGTCGATTCGGCGTGTTTATACTTTAACAAATATAATCACCATGACCGAATCCGGCACCGATGATTTATGAACTTCGCAGAACTAGTAGCCTTGTCTTCAGGCTCTAGAACCCGAAGGCCGAGAGTGGTCCTTCCTCAGCCACAGTTGCAAGATCAAAAAGTCAGTCGCGCGCTCAATGCAACATCACCATATTTTACTCCTCGACCAAGCTCGGCCGACAAGTTGGCATGCCCTGCATACAATTGAAGGACGTAGTTAGCTTGTTAATTACTCGGCCTGCATGCCACGTAGGCATAGTAGTTTTTTGGGTCAACATTTTGGCAAAACCGGTGGGACCCAGTGCTAAAACTACGAAGTTCATGACCATCGAGACACGATCGGTAAAAAAGAAAACAACCATGGGAAAATCAGCGACCAATCTGCCGATTCAGAGTCCTGGACAAGAGGTGTCACATGCGTGAAATCCTATTGTCGCTGTGACCCCTGAGGCTGCAAGTGTAACACACCAAGAAAAGGAAGTGTGCCTCGGTACCTAGCCTCGAAATGCATAAGTACCCAACCGAACCGCAGGCGTTTTCATTGAAAGAATAGTGGATGACTGCGACGAAGAAGATGGCGAAGGCTTTGACCCTCCGACTAGGTCGTTTCTTCGAAGATGACTTGATAAGCAATCTCGACAAGTTGAACAGACAGTTGGTCAAAAAATGAACAGTTTGCTCGAAGTGATATGAAGCAATAGTGAGACCCACACCAGATTACTCGAACTATTAGTTAGCAAAGTCTTCGAATGAGGATCGGTTGATCAGGCTCAGCCCAAAAGTAGTGTCTACTCGGTCCAAAACGATTGACTTAGAAAAAAATGGAGGATCAAGTAGTAGGTCAGATGGATCCGACCAGAGAGTGGAAGCAACATCCGTCGATGTGACCGAGATCCAACGAATGATCGATTCAGCCATGAAAAAAAGGCCGAAGTTCCCGAAATTCATGCACCCATATCCAGCTTATGTGGAAAAGTTCAAATATCCTAAAGGTTTCGAGATTCCAGATTTCAACCTTTTTGTTGGAGAATCATCCTTATCCACGTTATAACACGTGGCTCGTTTCACTGCGCAATGTGGAGATGTCAATAGTGATTTTCATAAACTACCGTTGTTCAACTTTTCGTTGATAGGCTCAACATTCGCATGGTATATCAACCTCCCATCTAATTCTATCCAAAGCTGGAAGGAGTTGGTCGAGAAATTTCACGAACAGTTTTATCGCCCGGGGATGGAAATGTCAATTTCTTCATTGGCTAGGATGGCTCAAGCATCTGATGAGTCACCAATGGATTATCTTACAAGATTTAAATCGGCCAGGAATTGGTGCCGAGTACCTCTTCCCGAAGTCGAATTTGTTAAGCTTGCCCTGAATGGGCTCAACGTTGAGTACAAAAAGAAATTCTTGGGGGCAAACTTTCGGGATATGTATGAATTAGCCCAGCATGTCGAGCAATATGATTATTTGCTCCAAGAAGAAAAGATCTCGAAATCCCCATCCCAAGGAACGATTTACAAAAATCTTACGATCAACTACGTATCGACCGAATGCGAAGATTCCCAATACGTCAGTGTGGATGCGACCGAGATAGTAATAGATAAACCATATGTTTGCAAGGCATTGACTCAACTTAATTCCAAGGATGCCAAAACCCGCTCGGCCACTGAGGAGACGGCGAAAACATCGAAAGTTTACACTTTTGATATCACAAAGGCAGAGGCAATTTTCGATCAATTGTTATTAGCAAAGATCATCAAACTTCGGCCATGACATAACATTCCCAAAGCCAAAAAGCTTAAAGGAAAGACGTATTGCAAGTATCATAATTCGACCAAGCACAAACAACTGTGTCGTATTCCGTGATGATATCCAGAGCTGGAGTGATGAAGGCAAGCTAAAGTTTCCCGAAAAACGGATGACGGTCGACGTTGATCCATTCCCTTCGGCAACAGTCAACATGGTAGACGCCCGTTTACCCAAGAGCAAAGGGAAAGGGATGGCTAAGTTTGTCCCAGTACAACACGTCCCAAAGAAACATTCCCAGTCACGACTCAAGATCAACCTATTTTCCATTGAACCACCTACCAAGTTTTTAGGACCAGCTATAGTTGAATCCATGTCAGATTCCAGTGTAGAAGAAAGTGATGGGCCGATAAACAGTCAAGAGAGTGTCCTCATTTTTTTTAAAAAACGGGGATCCATCTTGTTAAGGGATTCCTTTGCGTATGTACCTTGGTGTAGTTTCGATCCTCGCAGATTCGCTTCCTCCTAAACCCAAAACCACTTAGACTTTCTTAACTTTCTTAACTTTTGAAATCTACTACATATGTTACCTTCCATCTTTTTTTCTGTAAAAACATGTTGCCACTCACGTGGAGGGATATTTTTCCGTCAATCCACTTCCTAGAGCTCACTGCAATCAATTTGCACAAAGACAAAATACATTTTTTTTAGTAGCGTTAGAGTCGGGTCACGAAGAGACGGGTTTGATTTTGACAAGGGTTGTTGAAGAATTGAAGTGAAAATGATTGTTGGCATCTACATTTGTAGAATTTGGTAGATGGTGGCTGCTTGTGTTTTTATTTGGGGGGGGGGGGGGGGGGTTTTGGTTCTTTATTACTTAGACTGACTAAAAATTCAAATTATTTATTGTTTAACATTGTAGTATGTGTTTTGTGTCAGTTTTGTTGTGTTGGTGTATAGGATAATTTGCTAAAGACAATAGTCTTAGTCTATTAGGTCCTTATGCACATTCATTGTTTTAAAAATCTCTGCCTAGCATAGCACTGTCTAGGCGTTAGGAGGCTGACCACCATTCTGATTAATTAATAAATAGCGCCTAGACTGCTTAGGCACCCGTCTAGGTCGCAACTCTTATTTAGATAGAAAATAGATAACTTTCATTTTACATTTTATTTGTTTCAGTATATTGTAAGAGACTTATTGGATACTGAGATGGACATACATTATATGTTTATTCCTCATGTTTTCATTATGTTCTAATACTTTATAATTTATGTCATTCTATTTTATAATTTATGTATTTCAGTGAAATTATCTATTTTTTAAGTATAAGCAGATACTTATTTATACGATATATCGTAGATACTTATTTATACGATATATCGTAAATTTTATTCACATCCGCCTAGGCCCCCGCCTAGGTGCTAGACCACAGCCATTGCCTGACTACTGCTAAACCTCAGCCCGCCATCCGACTAACACCTGGCGTCTATTAGAATCTTGTGCAGAATTTCATGACCCCCATTATTTAGTTTAGCTTCACTCTTGGAGGTTAAAGTGAAAGCATGCCTTAAATAACCAAAAAGAGATTTATGCAATTTCAACATTGATTGTAATAGAGGAGCAGTTAGCATCATGCTAATGTTGGAGTAGAAGAGATTTGTAACAGAGAAAGCTCAACCAAATATCTTACAAAGTAATTTGGTGGATGTGGATGTGCGAGAACATGAAGCATAGAAAAGATTGACGAAGCTGATGATGTACGTAGATTACGCGCAGAATGTAGAAGAACCAGAGAGCCTGATGGGTACAACTTGGAAGAACTTAGAAGCCTATATGGGAACTCATCTAGTGATGAAGAACCGGATTCAATGAGAAGGAATAGGAGGAAGAAGAAACGACCTAAGTTTAAACATCATAGAAAAGAAACTGATGTCAGTACCATAGAGTTTGATTTGGGGATGTCTTTTCTTGTTAGACTAAACATAAAAACCAAGTTCATGTAACATGAATCACAGCCATCCAAAAACAAACTGTAGTTCATAACTATTGTACAGAGTAGAAATCTGCAGATGCACCAGAAGAAGAAGCCATAGTCAATCTCAACAGCAAAACTAGTAAACCTTCTCCTCTTTCTAGATTCAAAATGCTCAAACTAATAATAGGTCTTAGTCCAAGACAGAGCGTAATATCTGACGAATTACCAATTCTCCAGACTCATGCTCATATTCTTACATTTCCAAGTTCCAAGGAATTCAACGAAGCTGTAAATAGACACTTTTATAATATGCAGGTCTTACAAGTTAACCACAAATGGTTGGTACAAGGTTAAGGCTCAAATTCATGCCCTTGGCAAGTTATGCTTCTAATGACCAATCTGATAGACATTCTCCTTTATATGTAAAAACATTTGTTCCAAATCACACTTGTGGAAAAGATGAAAACAATACAAGTGTGACCAGTACTTGGTTGGCTGATGATATGAAGATCAATCCCTTTTTCTTTTTTCTTTTTTTTTTTTTGAATAAAGGACGGCATATATATATGCAAATCAATCCTAAAATGGATGTTAAGACAATGAAAGCTACAATGAGGGATTATCCATTCTAATCCCTCTCCAAATGATAGGATTGTGAGGGATAAGTTTGTTTCATTCCAATCTAAACCTAGAGACGAAACGCGGCCAGATATTACAAAGACAAAGATTCTAAAACAGCCTTCACTCAGAGAATAAAAAAAGCCATGCAGTGAGAACATTTAAGGGAAACGAGTTGATCCTCAATAAATGCCTCAATAGAATGACGTATCTTTGTTAAAGCATCTGCCACAAAATTAGCTTCATCTAAAACATGATAGAAGCTGATATGATCAAGCATCCCATGTTTGCTGAAAAGATGAAAGAAGGATCTTTCCAAGTTTAGGAAGGTGGGAGTTGCCAAAGAGAAACCGATTTGAGCCGCATCTGCTCCAAATATCTCAGGCAAACGGTCAGCTGACAAAATGCGGTCAATGGCTTCAACATCTTGAGAATAAAAGGCACAACTAGGATCAATTGGTTGTACTTAGGGATAAGAATTGAGTTTCCTCTTTCACAAATGTTACTTATTCATTCCGGCCATTATACGGTCAACATTGAACAGAAAGTATAACTTTTCCGGCCTCTAAGTCCGGAACCCTCCCAAACATTGGACATTACAATACTAGATAATGCAATAAGATACAACAGTACAATACAATATAGTTGAAAACAACCCATCTAAGATAGTACAGACTCAATTGGATGAATCAAAGGAACCCTAGTGTTCAAGCTTCCATCTTTGCGGTAAACTTAAGTGGTGGCTTCAAGAAATGGATAATCAGTGTAGCCAATCACGGGATCAGGTATGTAGAATGTCTCTCTGTTGTACTTGTTTAGAGGAGCATTAAGTTCAAATCTCTTTGGCAAATCCGGATTCGCCAAGAAAATACGGCCATAAGCAATAAGATCTGCACGGCCCTCCGCCACAGCACTGTTTCCATCTTCCCTGTCATAACCACCACCAGCAATGAAGGTACCATGGAAAGCCTTTCTCATGGGAAGAAGACTATGGTGGGTTTCAGCTTTTTCTCCAACTGTCTTCATCCTCGGCTCAACCATGTGGCAGTACACAATTCCATATTTGTTCAAGGCATTGGCCATATAGAGGCCTAGTTCTTTTGGATTTGAATCCCCTGAGTCCATATAGTCAGCAAATGGAGATAATCTAATTCCAACTTTATCTGCTCCTATTTCGTTAGCGACAGCTTCAACAACTTCCAGAGGAAAGCGGCAACGATTCTCTAGAGATCCACCATATTGGTCTGTTCGATCATTCACATGATCTTTCAGAAACTGATCAAGAAGGTAGCCATGCGCCCCATGAATTTCAACTCCATCGAAGCCTATATAGCAAATTAACAATTTCAACATACTGACGGTATTAGAACCTTAAGCATTGTCGCTGAATTACCAAACAAATAATGGTTAGTTAATAATAACAACGCTTTTATTTTGCATAAGCCTTGAAGCAAATTGAGTTGTAAATTTTGTTTCATTTTAACGTAAAGACAAATTACCAGCTTCAATAGAATTCCTTGCAGCAAGTCTAAAATCATTGACAATTTGTGGAATTTCATCTGTCCTTAATCGTCTTGGAGGTGTGAATTCAGAAGCATCAATGCCATTTAATCGTATCGGCTTGTCAGTAGAAGATATTGGAGCTTGCCCATTTGGTTGATAACCTGTAAGCAAGGAGAGAAAGAATTACAACCTGAAGTCTAACGACAGTAACAAACATCCACAGCAGCACTCTTTTAAGTGGGAATCCCTTGTTACAAATTACTATAAAATCGCTTGGTCTGATGAACCACACGTGCTATATACTAGTTCTGAATTCTGAGTTATGTTAACATCAAACTTTTTCCCATCCAATAATAATAATAACAACGCTTCCGAAACAGCAAGGTCATAAAAGTGGTGTCTTCTTATGGGTTATGTTAAAAACACCAACTCGGAACTTACAAAACACCAACTCGGAACTTAACAAGTCCAAGTTTTATCGTCACTTGAGCAACAATGTTGTCAATTATAATCACTTGCTCGTTCTGATGCATACACCATTATGTTATACATCAAACTTCCTAATCGGTCTAATTATTCACTCATGTTAACAAAGCATTCTATGGTAAAAGTGAGGTCATAAAGGTGCAAGTCAGAAACGCACCGCTATTAGAAACCCTTCCAACATGCCAAATCTGACAGAAGAAGATGCCACCTTTAGCATGAACAGCATCAACAATGGGTTTCCAGGCTTCAACTTGCTCCTTTGTCCATATACCAGGTGTGTTGGGGTACCTTCGTATATTAAAGAAACAAAAATTTCATCAAACTTCGAAATGGAAGAAGCACCCGTTTGTTAGTCTATGAATCTACTGTTGTTGAAATTACCCTTGAGCTGTGTCGGAAACTCCAGTGGCTTCCGCTATAAGAAGACCCCCGTTCGAGGTTCTCTGAGAGTAATATAAGATAGCATGTGGTTGAGGAACATTGTTGTATGATCTCTGTCTGGTCAATGGTGCTAAAACAATTCTGGAAAGGAAAAAGAACTTGTAAATTATAAATACAGAGTGATCAAGACGGAATGTGGCCGAGGAACATTATCGAATGATCTGTATCTAGTCATCAACGGTGAAAATACAATTCTAAAGAGGAAAAACATATAATAAACCATAAATACAACCTTCAGACTTTGTAGGAAGCATTAGTTTGCTAAGGCTCTTTGATAACAAATTTGCTTTTAGTTTTCTTGTTTTAGTTAAAAAGGAGAAACGAGGGAGGAAGAAGGAAATTGGGACGAAAAAGTGTGAAATAAAAACTCGAATTGTAGACTATCTGAATTTGCTTTATGTTTTTCATTTTTGGTAGCTTTCCATGCACGTTTTGTCCCTCATCCATCCCTTCCCCCTTCCTCTTCCTCCTTCCCCTCTTCTATCATGCATTTTCTCTATCCTTCACTTAAAATTAAAAATTAAAAATCAAATACGAAATCGTTACCAAACACAACCTAAATAATGCAATGTCTTACAAAGTGACCATGGCCGAAAGGACACATACTTTTAACAATCAGTTGCATCTATTTTCAACAATTAATCAATGACTCAAATGTACTATTGTTTTCATTTAATTTGTAACATCGGTACTATTTTATAGACAAAGATACAGTTCTAAGGACACTTCCTGTCTCCTTCCCAACATCTGTACTATTTTATACCAACAGGATGCTTTCTGGATTCTTTTGGTAATGATTTTGGAGTTCCATGAATCGTATTCGTTCATCGTACATCGATCAGTTAGTTTTTGTAAAGTACTGTTTGTATTTAATTTTAAATAAAAATATTTAAAATAATTTCTAACAGCACGATATACGATTAACGTACGGGATCCTGAGATCCTCACAAGGAGGATCCGGATTCTATTTTATAGACAAAGATACAGTAACAAACACTCCTTGTCTCCTTCCCCAAATCATTCTTCTTTTTTGTATAGCTATATTTGACACACACACATGAATAAACTACACAGTACGCTAAACTTGAATATAGACAAGCAGTAATTTCATCTTCTATTTTTCTTGTTAGCCAGCCATCTGCAGACCTAGCTACTCTCTGAATCCAAGTTCGGATCCCCTCTCATAGTTTTTACAACATTATATTAAAATAACGCCCGAATAAAATAAATTAAACAATTACACGACAGAGAAATTTAAGAAAGTAAACAAATAGGAACAATGTATGAAAGTTTTAAGTACCTATGAGAAAGATTGAAGTTTCCCAATTTGTAGGGAGTGAGGAGAGGAATTGTGGGAGGTTGAGCAGCAGCAGACATCTCAGAATTCGAGTCGGTCGTCTGCCACCTGATCTTGCACTTGGCCTTTATACTGGATTCTGGGATGAAGGAAGGAAGGAAGGAAGGAATGAATGAATGAATACAGGACCCAATTGGGTCTTTATACGTTCAGTAGGAGCTTAAAAGTCCGCCCTGCAGCTTTCCTCCACATAAGTCAGAGAGGGCCGGGTCCCACATCTCCCCTCCCTTGTGTGGTGTGGCGGCGGCGGACGTCGGTGGTGGATCTCTCCAGAGCATTAATTGAACCGATTAGGTGGAGAGGTAGGAAGGTTTGATGAGGTCTGTAATTACGTTTACGTGGGTTGAAAAAGGACGTCCACGGAATTCGGGTGTAACGCTAGCCGCATGTTCATTTCGATTTTGCTTTTTCATCCCGCATTATTGGGCCATGGTTTGAATAGTATATTGTTTAGGTCCTTAAGGACCCTCTCCAACCAGAAGGGTTAAAACATAACTCGGTCTAAAATTATAATTTTGTAAAAAAATTAATTTTAAATGAACAGTGTTAGATAGCTAGGCTATGATTCTATCAATTTCTTATGGATAGCTAGGCTATAATTCTATCGAGCTCACTAAGCATCATTTAGCTAAAGGGGCATTAAGCTGGCTAAATATAGCCCCCTCTTAACCTTTTTTTGGGGTCCAGCTCCTCTACTGCACTATTTGAGTCAAATTCAACACCTATATTTGAAAACATCCAACAGAAATTTAATTAAATTAACCAATAAATTTAATACATAAACTTAAAACTAAATAATTATTGAGAGGGTTATGTTTAGCTACTTCGGTGATAGTATATAAGTATGGCCCGATACTTTTCAGTTCTTTTGGTTGGAGATGGCCTAAGGTCATAATTTTGAGGATGTGAGAATAAATGCATATTAGTTACAAATTTTTTAATACATCAATATTTTTACACTAAGGGGAGGGAGAGTTCGGTTAAGCCACACAATGGGCAACCTAATTTGGTATCGAGTTTTCCATTCACGAGATTCGAACCTAAGACATCTTACTTCCAAGTGAATAGAAATATCACCAGACCGTAGTACTGAGTGACAGTTACAAAATAATATTAGTTTAGATCACTTGAAATATTTGACAACTTAATAAAGAAAATCCATGAACCATTAGAAAACTCATTTTCTTTTTTTGTTTTATTAAGTTGTCAAATATTTAAGCTTTTGGATACAAACTAATATAATCTTGTGGTTAATATGCATTTGGTCCTCACAAATCTTCAAAATGAAAACCTTAATTAATCAATGAATTTATGGCAAATTAATTAGTCTAGAAATAAAATACTCCAATCAATTAGCATTGCACGATTAAAATGGAAAATGACAAGGTTTATAGAATTTTGCAAAAAATATGTAATGTAGGTGTTCCCTAACGAGTGCTTTTAACACAATGGGCATACTCTCTATCGTGTAAAACTTTCTCGAGAAATAAAGTTGAGATTTATTCAAATCTGTACAAGGAAGTTTTTCTTTCGCATCACTATTTTTCTATAATCGTAATTTTTTGGGCATATAGATTCATTGTAAGGATGAATTGCGTATTTTTATAGGGGTGTATTTAATTGGGATTTTATTTTTTTTTAATGAATCTTGAGGTATTCAATCAGGATTTTAAGTGATTCTCTAAAATTCAAAGTGTATTCAGTTAGAGTTTTAAGATAGTTATTAAAATCCTTAGAAATCCGGATGTAGTCAATTAGGATTTTAAAGAAATTTATGACATTCCGTGTATTCAATTAGAAATTGATTTTAAAGAACTTGAGAAAGTTAAGGAATTTTAGAGATTTTGTAGTGTATTTTAAGCATCCACAAATCTCACCTCTCCCCATGAGATTTCGAGGAAGTTAAATCAAAACTTTATATGGAATCTCTACAAATCAATTAAACTCCATAAAAATCAATGGATTTATAAATCCATTAAAGTTTCTCAAATTCTCAATTGAATATGGTTTGACAGGTTTTAATTTTGATCCATGTCATTTTCAATTGGGGACTTTGTCATGCATAACATAATTTTTTACCGAGATCCCTTTTTGGCCAAAATAGGTTGCATGGAATATTCTAACAAGAAAAAAAAATCACATTTGTAAGTAGTGTACTCTTCTGGTGGTTCAAACCATTTCTCCTTTCCTTATTATAATTTAGAGTACAAATAAAGTTGTATTCAACAAACAATAAAGTCCTTGTGTACATCAGGTAGAATCATTAAAGTTTCTCAAATTCTCGATTGAATGTAATTTGACAGGTTTATTTTCAATTGGGCAAATTTAGACTTTGTCATACATAACATAACTTTATACCGAGACCCCCTTTCGGCCAAAATAGGTTGCATGGAATATTCTAACCAAAAAAAAATCACGTTTGTAAGTAGTGTATTCTTCTGATGGTTAAAACCATTTCTCCTTTCCTTATTATAATTTAGAGTAGGAATAACGTTGTGTTCAACAAACAATAAAGTCCTTGTGCACATCAAGTAGAATCATGAAAGAAAAAAAGGAAGAGAAAAAATTTGCCAACAGTGGATACTACTACAATGTTTTTTTTACCAGGAGTTAATTGGAGCCCAATATAACATTCTTGCATTAACGAGGGACGGTCAGGAATAGAGATTTATATCATCCTTGAATCCCAAAAGTAGAATTATCATAACTTACCAATTTTATTATATGGATAATACTTGCATTCCTTTCTTGAAAGGATGAACTTATTTGCACCATGCAAATAATGTACATTTATCGTACAAAGTTCATAATCAAAATTGTTCAATTTATTAATCCTCATACCCTTACAAAAGAATTGGAGATAATTTAGTTATTCAAATGTACAAAACCAATCAAAGACGTAGGTATCAAGTACCATATTTAGGATGAACTATTCATTTACGTGATATGTTTGAATGGATTAAACAATTTCTGATTCGAATGATTTTTTGCACGAATGATCTTCAAATGAAATTAAGAAATTGAACATGGCTCATCATTGAGTTTATATACTTAAGACATGTCATTCGCAAATGGAGAAGACGAATCAAAGATATATCCAAAAGCCAGTTGAACAGATGTACAATCAAACGTCTAGAGGTTAATTATACTGTTAATTTCCAATAATCATAATATAAGATCATCACAAACTATCTTTATTAAATTCATTGGCACGGCATGCAATCAGTTAGCATGTTCAAGTAACCACAAGATACAACACTACACTTGAACTTGATACAGATCGAACAATGCAGAAACTTACTATACAAACGAGAATTTTACAATCTCGTCAGCCAATTTCTGCCCCTCGATTTGTTATTTTCTCTAGTTATCCAAACCGTGCAAGAAAAGCAACAAGAAAACATGTACGCAGACTAATGCGAGAATTTCAGAAAGAATAGAGTGTACAAGCTTCCATATGCTGCACGAATCCTATGCAGTGGTGTCAAGGAACGGATAATCAGTGTAGCCAATAACCGGTTCAGACACGTAGAATGTGCTTCTGTTGTACTTGTTCAGAGGAGCATTAAGCTCAAACCTCTTCGGCAAGTCTGGGTTAGCCAAGAACCAACGACCATAAGCAATAAGATCTGCACGGCCCTCAGCCACAGCATTGTTCCCATCTTCCCTGTCATAACCACCAGCAGCAATGAAGGTACCATTAAAAGCCTTTCTCATGGGTACAAGACTGTGGGGGCTATCACATTTTTCTCCAGCTGTCTTCATCCTAGGCTCAACCATATGGCAGTACAGGATCCCATATTTGTTCAACGAATTGGCCAGATAAAGGCCCAACGCTTTCGGATCTGAATCCCCTGATTCCATATAGCTGGCAAATGGAGATAATCTAATTCCAACTTTATCCGCTCCTATCTCATTAACAACAGCTTCAACGACTTCCAGAGCAAATCGACAACGATTCTCCAATGATCCCCCATATTGGTCTGCTCGATCATTCACTTGATCTTTTAGAACTGATCAATAAGGTATCCATGGGCCCCATGAATTTCTACTCCATCAAAGCCTGTATATCAGACAAACCATTTCAGTGCACCAAATATTTTTTGTAATCTAGCATGAACTATTGTCACACATCTAGTTAAACTGCAATTAACGCCTTTAACTACATTTGTAAGATTATAGATGGTTTGTTTGCTTCTGTTGAAAGTAATTTTGAGTTCTCGCTAATTTTATTTCGCACTTAAGTAAAGACAAATTACCAGCTTCTATAGCGTTCCTTGCAGCAAGTCTGAAATCATTGACTATTTGTGGGACTTCATCTGTCCTTAATCGCCTTGGAGGAGAAAAATCAGCAACATCAATGCCATTAGATCGTATTTGGGGGGTTAGTGGCTTGTCAGTAGAAGAGATTGGAGCTTGCCCATTTGGCTGAAACCCTGTAAGAAAATATTGATAGAATCACAATCCGAAAGATTTCTATTACAGGAATATCAAGGCAGCTTTCTGATGCTTCAATGGCCTAACTTTTCACTTATGATCCAAACGCTTTCAATGACACAAAGTGAAGTCATAAAAGCGTATGTTAGAAACGCACCGGTATTTGAAACCCTCCCCACATGCCAAATCTGACAGAAGAAGATGCCACCTTTAGCATGAACAGCATCAACAATGGGTTTCCATGCTTCAACTTGCTCCTTTGTCCATATACCGGGAGTATCTGGGTACCTTCGCATATTAAAAAAAACAAAAATGTTATCAAACTTTGAAATGAAGAAAGTACACATATAAATGTATGTTTTCCATCTAGAATTTCGCATAAAAGAAACTTGAAAAAAAGCTAATGTTTGTGAAGTTACCCTTGAGCTGTGTCAGAAACTCCAGTGGCTTCAGCTATGAGAAGACCCCCGTTAGATGTTCTCTGTGAGTAATATAAGATGGCATGCGGCTGAGGAACATTTCCGTATGATCTTTGTCTAGTCAATGGTGCTAATACAACTCTGCAGAAGGCAAGGAAGAAGTATATCATCAGAATACACCTACTACATGGCCTATGACATGTACGATATCATCAGATCTTGCTAAACAGAACAAGATTTAAGTAACACGACCAAAAATCCAGAAAGGAAACATACTTTTCGTAGCCAATTGCATCGAATACCAAAGATGAATTAAGTAATTTCCGGTCAAGATTAAGTACTAACTCGGGAGTGATGAGTGGTTCAGAGTTCACAACCCAAGATGTACCATTTAGGTCTTGGGAAACGATATCAAATCGTATGTCAGTCGGTTCTAGGGATCATCTATGCATATATTTGGTTTCAAGGTCTGGGGCTTACAGAAAATTTC